TTGCTATACTCGGTGGCGAACATGATGCCCGGCACCTGGTCTGGGACTTGGGCAGTGTTTACCTAATCACTGATCAATGACTCCAAAAGATTGTGCAGAATGCTGAAGGAGTGGGTCGCGGCTTCAGGATAAGGATGCGCCTTTCAAACTCTCTGGGACTCGGTTTAAGGATCTTCATTGTTTCAAGAACAGACAGGCATGGCTTGAGTTCCAGCCACGGTTTTTAGCCAACTGGGGAACACAGTTGGCATCTGGCCTCTTCTGAGGGCAAAAATCAGTGATGGGAAATACTTTTGAATTCCACAGCACAAAGAAGGAGGGTAGGAAAACACGCGTCTCCTCCCATTTCCACCCCCTTCAATCAAATTAACCCTGCACTTTGGCCACGTAGGGCTTCAGTGGATTCCATGAAAATCCTGACGTGTCTGAGCAGAGAGGACACGGGACGGAATGGATGTTCTTGCTCATTGGCGGGACCAAAGCCCCTGAAGGCCGCCATCCTTTCCTTCCTGCATAATGATCCCCCCGAGTCCTGTCTTCTGTCCCCTCTGCACTTCCCCAACATCTCCTCTGAACTCCGGGCTCCAACGCCCGCCAGTCTCTGACTTCTCTACTTGGCTGCGTTCCGAGTGCCCCAAACCCTCTGTGTGCAGCCCACACTTGCCCTGTCTGACCCCCTCCGTGACTGGCTCCTGGATGCTTAAACTGTCGCCCTGGGCTTCCCTCAGGCCTCTCTTTCCCCTGTCCCTCTGACCTCTGCCGGTCACCTGGCGGCGTGGAATCTGCAGCTGGACCACTCGACCTGCTGCATCCTGGGAAAGGCCACCAACGTCTCCCCTTACATACTGCCCTGGTGTCTGCATCAGCCCCTGCGGTAAACCCGCCCTTCTCGGTAGCGGTTCCTGAAACAGCTGCGGGCGCGTGAGAACGGCCACGGGCACCAGGGCTGAAGCCGGACCCTCGTCTCCGGGTCGGTGCACGAGCCCCTAGGCTGCCTCTTTTAACACCCTTCCCTCAGGCTTGAATGGCTCCCTCGCCACGAACTCCTACCGCCTGCTCTGGCCTGAGCCCTCCCTGTCCCTTTCCTCCCTCCTCCAAAGCGCTGTGCCTCCGGCTCATGCCGTGAAAGACACTGGCAGGGAAGTGGCTGTTCCCGGTGCAGGCGACCTTGTCTCCCTGCCTACCCCTCACCCCTCTTTCCAGGCTCAGCTCAGGCTTCACCTCCTCCAGGAAGCCTTCCCTGACCCGCAGGCCTGCATTAGGTGCTTGCCCTTCCCTCTACCAGAGCACTGACAACAAAGAAAAACAGGCATCTACTTGCTTGTCTGTCCCCGCCACTAGGTTGCCAGCCCCCCGCACAGCACCTGGCACTCAGCATTTCACACGCATTTAGGGCGTGGCGGAACTAGAGACAGAAACAATGAAGCTCCCAGGCCCCCGATGCAGCGGACTTCTCTCAACAGCTCCGACTGGCGAGTCTCCCCTTCACACCTATTATAGCAATAATGGTCAACGTTGTACTTTGTGAAGAAGTAGCCCATCTGTTGACCTGCGTCAGCTCCTCTACAGACCTGCTACGTAGGGGATATTGTTCCCATTTTATTGGCGAGGACACAACGAATTGGGAAATGACAACGCCGTGTGCCCTGCGCGCTCCCCGTGGTCAGGCGCGGCTCTAAGCTTTCCGCCTGCAGTGGCTCACTTAGCTCTCCGGCGGCCTGTGGGGCAGGCGCTGTTCTCCTCACTGTGTGTGGGACGGGCCCAGGGCCAGAGAGGGTTGTGACTGCCGCCGGTGTGCGCACTGCTGGTGAGAGGTGGGGCTGGAGTTTGAATATGGAGATTGACAAGCTTCACCACGGTGTCGACTGTCCTGGAGACGTCAGTGCCTAGGACAGTGCCTAGGATACAGAGGGGGCCCCGCATGCATTTGGTGACCGAGGCAGGTCGCATAGAGCTGAACGTTGAGTCCAGGCCTCGAGCCTGCAGCTCTTCCCGGCAGCTGGGCTCTCGGGCAGCTCTGCGCAGAGAGCAACCACCCAGCTCCCTCGTCCCCTCCCTGACCGGCGAGTGCAGCTGCCGCACACACAGCTCCACAGACACGCACCAGAGGCCTGGCGGTTGGCCGGTAGGAGAAGGACCTGGCTCAGTGCTCTGGACACAGTCACTCTGTGCGTTCAAGCCTCATCCAGATTCCTGCCCCGAGCCTCTCCCGTCAGCCGGCAACACATCAGCGGGGCCGCACCTGCCCCCACCGCCGCCCCAGGCGGGCAGCGGCCAGGCCGTCCGAATCGGACTGCGCCCACCCCCTGCCCAGGCTGCCCTAGCAGTGTGCCAAATCTCATTTTCTCCCTCTAAATTGCTTTCTGCTCGGTATCTTTCCTTCCCCACCTCTGGGTCCCTGAAGAGGGAATGCTGGTTACTATGGTGATGGGAGGCTTGTGGAAGGCACTCAGCTTAGTAAATTAATTGCTGGACTTTTGGAGACTAATGGCAGTGCACTGCCTCCCAGGGACAGGGTGCGGCCTCCATCACACCAGCTGGGCAGCCAAGCCCCAGAAAACGCTCAGGGTCTGGTGAGGAAGCGAGAGCATCAGCATGTGTGCTGTGGCTCGCGGGGGCTGCGGCCTCCGATGGGCTGGACCGGGGGCGGGGGGTGGGGAGAGGCTGCCAAAAATCTCCCATTTCCTGTGCTTCTAGTCTGTGCCAGGATCTGTGCTGCATGCTTTACAGAAATTATTTTTTTTTCCCCCTCACTGCACCTCCTGATGGAGTAGAGACCATCCTCATTTTATGGAGAGGACATGCTCTCTGATGCCACAAAGGAGCACAAAGATTCCGTACCAGGCCTGCCACACTCTGGGGGCACTTACTATGATCACTCCGTCATCCCTGGGTTGAAGGCCACTTTCTTCTTTACAATCTTTTCTAGAATATAGAAGCACAGGGAACATTTCTGAACTCAGTCTACGAAGCCAGTGTTACCCTGATCCCCAAAGGCATTGCAAGAAAAAGAAAATGGTGGAGCAAAATCTCTCATGAACATAGATGCAGAAATCCTCAAAAAATATTAGCAAAACAAATATTATAATATATGAAAAAATTGCACACTGTGGCTAAGAGATTGTAGCCAGAGCAATTAGGCAAGAAAAAGAAGTAAAGGCATCCAACTTGGAAAGCAGGAAGTAAAATTATCTCCTGCATGACCTTATATGTAGGAAACCCTAAAGAATTCACAAAAAGCTATTAAAATAAACAGAATCAGCAAAGCTTCACGATACAAAATCAATACTGAAAAATCTGTTGCATTTCTATACACTAGCAGCAAATAGGGACATTTAAAAAATAAGTCTATTTACAATAGCCTCAAAGAATAGCATAAAATACACAGGCATAAATTTAATCAAAGAGGCACAAGACTTATACACTGAAAACTACGAACCATCAAGAGAAGTTAAAGAAGCCTAAATAAATGGAAAGATATTTCCTGGTATTGCTTAATGGTCACAGCGTTTCAGTCTGGGGTGATCACAAAGCCCTGCATGTAGGTAGCGATGATGGTTGCACAACATGTGAACAGAATGAGTGCCGCTGAATTGCACGCTTAAAATGGTTAAAATGGCGAAATGTATGTGATATGTTTGTCATCACACACAGAAAAAGACTTTCATGCCCCATCCTCTGTGAATATGTTATGTCCCATGGCAGTTAAAGGGGGAATTAAGGTTATAGGCGGAATTAAGGTCGCCGCCAATCTGACTTAAAACTGCGGCGATGAACCTGGAGTATCTGGGCTGGCGGTGGGGGGGTGGGGCGCGCGCTCTTGCAACCAGAAGGGTCCCTACAAGTCAGAGTCAGAGAGGCAGCGACCTGAGAAAGACGTGATCGGCCACTGCTGGCTTTGCAGGTGAAGAAAGGGGCCATGAACTAAGAAATGCCTTCCAAACTCGGCTTGGCTGCTGCTAGTTCAGGCAGCCAGGCCGGCCCCCGAAATGATCACGTGACACCCCTCCACCACGCGCCCTGCTCTCATAAGCCCTTGCGCGCCCCCTACCTGCGCACTCGGCTTATCTTGTCGTCCTGTGGCCCGAGGCTAACCTGTCTCCCAGCGCCGGTAGCTTTGGGGTCATTCATCTGCCTGCTCTCAGCACCTGATACATGAGAGCCACTGGTAAATATCTGTTAAGTGGATACATCAGTTGTGAAATCTATAAACTGTTTTTTTTTTCTTCCTCGGATCTTGCATTAATAATGATAACTACTTTTTGAAATGGACATGAGAATAAAATACAGAGAAAGGGAAATACACTTAACTAATAAACCTCATGAATCAAAGAGCCACCTCGAAAGCAAGCACCGACGTCTCTCCTAAGGCACCGGCAAAGCCTGAAGGAACGATGCAGCGCATGCTGCCAGGTGTGGGGCGAGAGGGGCCGCCGCGCCCACTCCTCGTGGCCAGAGGCAGCGTGACTTTCTGGTAAAGCGGTTTGACCACTAGTGTCTGGATCCTTTCAAAACTTGTGTGATATCCTAAGCATTTTCCACAAATCTGCCCTGAGACAATAACTCAATATGCACAAAGACAGGTGCAAAGATGACTTATTTATTAAACACATAAAATAGCTTATTAAATGTTCAAAAGTAGAAAATGTGACCAAAGCAATGGTGTGGGTGCCCCAGGTAGAGCCTCAGGTAGACAGTCATGATGGGGCGTGGCAGTCCTCGGTACACGTTCACCAAGGGGTGGAGGCGGGACAGATGGAGTCAGCGAAGGGTCACGCTGTTGGCTGTGAGGGGTGTCAGGTCTGAGGAGTGAAGTCCAGCCAGCCCCCGGGGTCTGGGGGAATTCCTCCCACCTGGGGTCCAGAGGTTGAATCTTGGGGCTTCTTGGCTCCAGGACCTGCTCTAAAAGAGTGTCTTTCTTCAGGCAGGAAATGCTCCAGTAGAACCTGACGCTGTTTCTTCCTGGCCAAGAAATGCGTGTCCTCAAGCACAAGAGAGCCATGGCCTGCCTCCGAGGGTACGCGGCGCCCTGCCTCCTGTGGATGCTGCTGCTGCTGCTGCTGTGGAGCGGGCCCCGCGGCTGTCAGGCCCAGAGGGCAGGTGGGGCTGCACCCAGCTGTCCGTGTGCGTGGGAGTGTGTGGCCGCCAGTGCGCCCGTGCGCGCGCCGGTGACTGTGCGCGCGCCAGCTGCCCAGCAAGGGCGCGTGTCTGTGGGAGGGAGTGAGTCTGAGCCTGTGAGTGTGCGTTTGAGAGGAGCTGTCGGAAGCCGTGATGACTCCACCCCGGAATGTGCCCTGAGCTTGTGCCCTGAGCTTGTCCCTCTCAAGCGCCCGTCGGTTTTGGGGGCAGCAGGCAGAGACTAGGGCACTGCCGTGTTGTGCCATCCTGTGTGAAGGCTCTGGGGCCATCCCAAGAGAAATGGACACACTGGGCTCAGCCAGGAAAGGTGGCCAGAGCAGGTTTGCAGGCAACGGAGGAAGCAGGGAAATCCACCCGAGAAGAGGAGGCCCGGGGCGGGTGGGGAGCCCTGACCTGACAGGGTGGCTCTGCGCACCTGTCCAAGGGCCTCCTGGAGGAAGGCGCTGCCTGTACGGAGACCCGCAAGGCCAGCAGGAGCATTGGGCACCTGTGACTCGATCGCTGTACTTAACGCCGCCCCAGGTGGAGCACCACCTCCATGGCAACCTCAACCCAACTTAAAGCTCTACCCCACGTAAAGCCCCCGTCCCACATAAAGCTCCACCCACATAAACTCCGCCCCATATAAACTTCACCCCACGTAAAGCTCCACCCCTACATGAAGCTCCTCCCCACTTAAAGCGCAAGCCCACAGGACTGACTGCCCATTTCAGCCATGGGAAGGCCAGGGACGGCTTTTCCAAGCCCTCATTTCTTAGAGAAGAAAAAGGGGCTCGAAGAAAACGGGCAACAGAGGGGGTCACATGGCCTTCACCTGTGGCCAAGCAGAGGCCAGAAGCCAGGGCACCCGCCCCAGGGCCAGGGCCCTTCCTCCGACCCCTCCCTTAGCTGTCACGTGCCTACAGTCCAGCCTGTTTCCTGGGCGCCAGGAGAAAGTGCACGCGGAGCTCCCGAGGGCCCTGTGGTGAGGCCTTTTGAACAAATGAACTTTCGGCAGCATTAAAACCAATTTGCTCAAGGATGACAGCCCAAAGCCCGGGCCCTGCCTGACCCACAGCAGCAATTGTCATGAACAGACTGGGATGGTATTGTCCCGAAGACAAAAGGATGCCCTTTTGTGTCAAGGAGAAAAACTCCCCAGGAATTATCTCTGAGTCCACACATCTGGGCAAACACACCCCAGAAGCTCTCATCCTGTTAGGGATCAACCCTGGGAAGCCAGGGATTCACCTTAGCCCCCGGCGGGCGGGCGGTGACTTGCATCGCAGAACGAGAGGGGAGGGCGGGTGTGGAAATATCCACAGTGGCACCGATTGAGGCCGGGGCAGGGCAGTGTCTGTGCGCGCGCGCGTGTGTAGCTTTAGTGTTGTTCTGGTTTTTGAACTTAATTCATTGCTTATAAATATAAAATCAGCCCTATAAAATAATGAAATCCACTCGTGGTTCTGCTTGCCAGAGATAAAGAACATCTCTTTTTGCAGGGCCTCTCAGGCGTGCAGACACAATGCCCCACGTAGACCCACACAGCTTTTCACCCCCGACAACATAGTGGGAGCGGGTGCCCACGTCGGCAATAAGGGCCCCTTTCCAGCCCTCCCTGTCGTGACCGCCGGGCCTTCCGCTGTGCGAATACGGACGACTTTGACCTAAGTAGTGCCGTGCGGGGAGCACGCAGCTCGTCCCCAGGGTCTTGCTTGGCGCAGCTGCCTTGAGCTCCTTTATACACCATTTCCCCCTTCTATTTATCTAACTATTTTCTTGGGGTAAATCACTAGATTTGGAACTGGTGGGTCAAAAGATTCAGAGGGTTTTAAGACTCTGAAAAGGAGTGCGGCAAACCCCAAAGCCACTCGTTCCCGGCACAAACGTCTTCTCCTCGCCTTCTCCTTGCTGCCTCGTCTGTGAGACTTTTGCCAATCTGATAGCTTAGCGAAATGGGCTTTTTGGGTGTGTGTTTTTATTTTGTGGCTACTGGCCCAATATTTGTGCCCAGTGTTCCCAGAGGCCCAGTCAGCTCTGCCCTTGGCACCACCAAGACGCAGATTCTGGGAGAGTGGAGACCAGGGCTTCTTGGTAGGTCCCTGGTATGTTTGCACAGCCCTTTGGAGTTGAGAAAACACTTGTCCTCATTACCTAATTGTGAAATGGGGATGAGCCAGCTCTCTGCGCTCACTGCTGTGAAGACCAGAGAGAAATTGTGTAACACTGTTTCTTGTTTAATCAAAAGCATTGTACTGCTAATATAGAATTTGTATTTGTATAGTTATTATAAAATATAAGCGTAGTTTATAAAGCATTATAGAATTCTTCAAATTTGTATTTAAAATATGGGAAAGCAATATATTTCCTATGGTTTCTAAGAGCGAAGTACAGTAAACTGTTTAATATCCAACAAGAGAGCACTGGTTAAATAAATTATGTTCATCCTTGCAGTGGACTCTCTGTAGTCATGGAAACCAGCATTATCACACTGAAAATGGGTTCCCAGCACATTGCAGGGAAAACAGCTTATCCATCAGCGTGTCTGGTACAATCCCGCTCCCATCAATAACTATGTGGAAATAAATGGAAAATGATCAACTCTACGCACCGTGGTTAACCATGGTTATCTCTGTGTAGACGGGACTATGAGCGTTTCAAACATTTTCGGGTTGCGTTCTCTGACTCTTCTGCAATGGACCTGCATTTTTTTCTTTTTGTGGCAGGTTTAAAAAATAATGAAGTCACTTGTAACCCTGTAGTTATAGAAATTGACACAGTGTCATTCCATGCGTGTCCATCACTTTCACGTAAGGTTATATAGTGTCAGCTGAACCTCGCCGCCGCCGCGGGGACACTCATCATCGTGTGACAGTTAGGAAAGGAGGGTTTGAGCTTGAAGGCAGCTGGACAAGGCCGCCAGCCAGAGGGAGCCAGCGGGGTGGGTGTTGGAGGCAAGCGGTGTGACCCGGTGACCACGCCTCCCGGTCCCCCCGGGACAGCGCTCTTTCCACTCACCCCCCTTACCCCTTCTCTCGCCCTTGCAGGCTGCAAAAGTGTCCACTACGATCTGGTGTTCCTGCTGGACACCTCCTCCAGTGTGGGCAAGGACGACTTCGAGAAGGTCCAGCAGTGGATGGCCAACCTGGTGGACACCTTTGAGGTGGGCCCCGACCACACGCGCGTGGGGGTCGTGCACTACAGCGACCAGCCCACCACCGCCTTTGAGCTGGGCCGCTTTGACTCCAGGGAGGCGGTCAAGGCGGCCACGCAGTCCCTGGCCTACCAAGGCGGCCACACCAACACGGGGGACGCCCTGCGCTACATCACGCGCCACAGCTTCTCCCCGCTGGCCGGTGGCCGCCCGGGGAACCGCGCCTTCAAGCAGGTGGCCATCCTGCTGACCGACGGCCGCAGCCAGGACCTGGTGCTGGAGGCGGCGACCGCGGCCCACCGGGCGGGCATCCGCATCTTCGCGGTGGGCGTCGGCGAGGCTCTGAAGGAGGAGCTGGAGGAGATCGCCTCGGAGCCCAAGTCCGCCCATGTCTTCCACGTGTCGGACTTCGACGCCATCGACAGGATCCGGGGCAAGCTGCGGCGTCGCCTGTGCGAGAGTGAGTCTCCGCGCTGCGGGGGGCGGGGACGGGGAGGGGACAGGGGTGTGCGCAGGGCCGGGGTCTCCAGCAGGGAGGGGCCGTATAGCCAGGTCAAGGGAGGCCTCAGCTGCACGGCCGGGGGTCACGGTGGTGGCCTGAGTCCGCCATTCCCCGGCTGTGTAACAGAAGAAACCCAGCTGTACCTCCGCACAGCACGTGCCTGTCGCCAGGGCCCTGTCCTCTCCTCTCGCTTCCAGGGCTGTAGAAGCAGCAAGGCATTACACAGGGCTGCTGGGGTCCAGCCCCACGCCCCACGCTGGGATGCGCAGAGACAGGTTAAATGTTGCCCTCGGAGCCAGGGCGCCCAGCGGGTGACGACAGGGCTCCCTGAGCTGATGAGAGGTCCTGTAAGAAGGTGGGCCCAGACAGGCTTGGGGGCTGACCTGGAGACCCCGAGTCAGCCGCTCGATGTGGTCGGGCGCGGCCGGCCCAGAGGCCTCGGCTGCTGACCTGGCGCCCTCCGGGACAGCCCCAGGTCGCCCAGCTGTCTGTCTGGAAACGACTGTGGCTGGCGGTGAGGCCAAGGGAGAGGGCCTGGAGGGCCGGCAGTGCGCCCGTGGCCCCCAGGGCTCCGGCCTCCGGTAAGGGCATCCTGAGGTCTGCCCTTCCCTAGGATAGGAAGGTTGAACTGGGTTTCTCCCAGGCCCGCCTGCCTCTGTCTCTTCGTTAGGGTGACATGTCCGCCTTGGAAGTTACCCATTGCCAGGCCCGTGCTGGGGGGCTTCCCGTCCGGGGCCAGCGGGCGGCTGGGAGCAGTCTCAGCCTCCGTCCCCCGACTTCTCCTGGGGACTGAGGCTCCCCAGGTGGGGGAAGCCCCGAGGGTGCCATCTCATCAGGGCCAGGGGGGCTGGGGGCTGGGGCAGCGGAGGAGGGGCTGGGGGAGGGAGCCGCCGGGTGTGACTCCTGGTCGCAGGGGTGGGCCTGGCTGGCAGCATGGTGGCACTCTGAGACCGGGCACCCGTGGCTTCTGGACCCCTCTGTGGCCCTTTCCCCCGTGCTGGCTCGCCCAGTCTCCGGTTATTCACACGCACTGAGGGGGGTCTGTGGGCGTGGGCCCTTGCGCTGCTTCTGGGCCTGTAGACAAAGGTAAAGCTCAGCCCCTGCCCTCACGACGTTCGCAGTCCAGATGGCAAAGGAAACAAACAGCGAGGAGGGGCGTAATACTGCCTGGGAACAGGCCCCACGGAAGGGAGGGGTGAGGTTGAGGGGGTCCTGAGGCTCCGGGGCCTGGCATGGGGGGAAGCCAGCTGAGAGAAGGGACGGAGGGTAGCTGGAGGCCCGTGGGAGCGGGGAGGGGGCGGTCCTGGAGGGAGCAGGAAGACACCCCTGCTTTCTCTCCCCTCCTCTCTGGCTGCCGGGCGCCTCCCATTGGCCTGACCCTGTCCAATAGAGGCCAGCAAAGGGGGCCACCCGCAGCCAGCCTCCCAGGACTTGGAGCAGGGCGGCGGCGGAAAGAGGAGGCACAGGTGGGCAAAGTGGGGCTGCCCACGCAAGACAGCTCTCGGCGAATCTCAGAGCTGCGTGAGCCTTCGGACCCGGGGCAGGGGACTGCGGCCAGCGGCCTGGGTTTGTCAGACATGAGTGGGCCCTGTGGCCCTGCAGGCCGTCACGGCAGCCGGGGAGTCGGGGCAGGCGCCCCATGTGGGGCCCGAAGCCCAGGGCACCGCCTAGCACTTGGGAGTTGAGTTAGATGGCACCCCCAGGCCCCCAAGGAAAGGAAAACTGGGGGGGGCGGGGAGGGGGCGTAACCAAGAGAAAGGGAAACAGGCAAGCCAGCCCAGCCCAGCCGGCACCCACTAACGCGTCGTTGGAGAAACTCACGTTTCGCTCCAGCCGGCCCTCTGCCGCTGCTGGCGGAGATGTGACATTTAAGTCGCATCCCATCGTCCGGAGGGAATCTGTTTTGGTAAATACAGCTGTAAGCTGACGAGGGCCTGCTCTATTCTGGTGACAGATGAAGCAAAAATCCCCTCACCAACGGGTCAATTAGAAACAAAGCACAACACCGTAAATAGCTGACAGTCCCGTACTGAAATGCACGCAGCAGGACTGAATCACGAAGTGTCACAAGACCCCGGGCGGCCCGGCACCCCTTGGCACGTAGAGGAGACCGGCGGGCGATGTCACGGCCCGAACAGGAGCCACTCTCGGTGGGGCCTCCTGGGCTTTGTCCGCCCGGGGCCTGTCTTCTGCTCGAGAGTGTAAGCTTCTCCAGGGCGCGGTGTCCTGGCGCCTGGAGCAGGGCTTGCTGTGCGGGAAGGGCTGCCACACGCTGTTTAAAGACGTCACGGCAGTGGCAGGCGACCAGGTCCGTGCCTGCTGTCGTCCCGGTTCTCAGAAGGACGCGCGTCACGAGCTACCTCCTCCCAGGTGCACAGACAGGGAGAGGCAGCGAGCCTGCAACCACGGCCGGCGTAGCTGAACTTCGGGACGTGCGCGTGGTGGTGCGCAGACAGGCGGTCAGGCTTGGACGGGCAGTGAGGTCTGGGAAAGGCGGGCTGGGTGCCGTAGGCTGAATCACGTGGGAGGCGTCACCCTGCTTCCTAGGGTGGGACAGATGCAGCGGCGAGGGCCCCGACCGACTCCGCTGGAAGTGTCTAGAACTGAGGGCCCGCCGGCGCTGTCACCAGGTCCAGACAGCGCTTTGCATCGCGTGGCGTCGCGTCATGTCGCGCTCTCTCCCAGCCCCTGCACTGGCACACGTGGGCGGGGAAACCAGCACTGTGAACTGGTGCTGCGAACACGCGTGACCACTGACCATACGGGGCTGGTCCAGGCTGAGACGTGCCCGGGGCAGCTTACACGCTGAATTTTGTACATTGGGTAGGAAAAAGAGTGTCAAGCATTTCATCCGTATTTTTATATTAGTTCCATATTTACATGATAATTTTTGGAAATTTAGGGTTAAATGCAACATATTCATAATTAATCTCCCCTGATGCTTTTTCCTTTTTTTAAAAATGTGGCTACTAGATAATTTAACATTTCTTGTGAAGCCCACAGAGGAGGGACCTCCTCCCCCTTTTGCTCTTCCTTCTCCTCCTCCCTCTCCTTCATGGTGCTGATGCTGGCAACGGGGACCCAGGCCCCGCTGCTCCCCGAGCCTGTGCTTCCCATCAGCTTGGCTGCAAGAAGGGGGAAAGGGCGGCTCTGAGGGACAGTGGGCTCCCGGCAAAGCTCGGGTCCAGGTCAGGGCCCAGGAAGTGAGGGGCCAGTGTCTGCGGTGGGTGCAGCGGCTCCCGGCCCTCGGCGCCCAGGTTTGGGCTGTGAGCGGCGGCTCCTCTGGCCTGGAAGCCCAGCTGAAAGCGGCGCTGTGAGCCGGGGAGGGGACGGGGCTGGGGCTGGGCAGGACTTTTTGGGGTGGCCACTGCAGGAGCCGCCCTTTGTGCCAACGCTCCTGGGCCCCCCGAGGCCGGCCCTGTCCTTCTGCCCCTCAGGACCTGGCGGCGCCGCCGTGCAGCACCCTCCTGCGGGCTTTCGTGCGAATTCCAGCTGCCTACCTGCCCCACCTCAGTCCGAGCTGCACATGGCATAGCAGTTCTACTAACGTATTGTTTCTAACACATGCACGCACTGCCCTGTGCTTCCAGCCGTCATCAGAGTTCCTGTGCGCGCCCGTATTGGAGTTTGCGCTGTGATTGTTAGCGAGTGAGCGACCAGCGAGGTGATACCGTCAGTCCCCCGCTGACTGGCGAGGAGCAGACAGGGAATGTCCCTGCCCGGTTCGCCCTTGGTCCCGAGTGAGCCCCTGTTAGTGAGTTCCGATACCTAGGAAGCGCGTTCGCTCCACCGCGTCACTGATGTCTCCCCACAGTCCCCCGATGTCGTCTGGGGCTTGCTGTTCTGTCGTCGATGGTGATGAGGCACAAGGAGCTGAACAGCTCATCCAGGGTCCCAGGGCACCAGGTGTTCAACCCTCACTCGGTCCAGAGTCCCCTTCTGGGGCGGAGTCCTTCCTGGCCGCCCTTCCGCAATCCTGTCTGAAATCGAAGCAGCGGACTTGCCGTTGCCTCCCACCAGCACTGGTGGCACTTGAAGGAATCATTATCCCCGTGTTACAAATAATAACACGTCTGCAAACTCATAAGTAGAATAACATCAGCAACAGCAGCTCGAGGCCGAGGGTATTGGAGATGGGTTTGTGGTGCCATGCGCTGGGGGCGGGGGGCCTCTCCCAGCGGCACCCCCCGCGGTCTGCTCAGGAGCGTGGCCCACTGTCCCCCTGACCTTGGACTCACCCGGGGAGGCAGCGCGGAGTCACAGCCTCAAGCCCTGCCTCTCCGTGGCCTGACCAGCTCCCCAGGGGACACAATCTCGGCCTGGTTTCCTGCAGTGTGTGGGGCGGATGCTGCAGATGGGCCCAGCCCCAGAACACTGGCTGTAATTAAGAGCTTCCTCCACCCTGGGCTCTGTCGTGGCCACAGAACAACTTTATATAGCTTATCGGCTCGCCGTGAGCAAGCCTGTGGAATGCCAGCCACCGCTGAGAGCGCCTCCGCCTATTTCTATTTTGGGGGCGCTGTGGTGGTCCTCTCTCCCCTCTCCCACGGGCAAGGACCGCTTTCCTGGACCCTGTCTTTTAGCTCTTAGACAATTGGGCTGAGATGGGAGCGTGGACTAGGGCCAAGAAGGGGCCTCTCCCATGGTCCTGGTGCTTTGCCTCATGGCATGTGGCCGCCCTCTCGGGCCCTCTTGCTGGTGTGGTCATGACCAGCTGCATCGCTGTTCTGGCGAGAGCTATGCCCACTGGATGTTACACTTACTATCATGACTGGCCGGGGCGGGGGAAGAGAGACAGACAGACAGACACGGACACAGAATGTGGAGGTAAAGACATTGTTTGCCTACAACTCTCACTGGGGAACTGGGTGTCCGCACCCCAGCTCTGCATTTGGATGAGGGCCAGCCTCAGTCCCAGCTCCGGCGGGCGCTCAGCCCCTCCTCACGGGCTCAGTCGT